CCATACTTAGCGAACCACCGTGTTAACAGATATAGAACAAAATAATGTGTTGTACAATAACAGAAGTGATTTTAATAACAGAAAAAAACTAATATTATATGTATATACTTGTCGAATTTTCTCCAGGGGTTTAGTATTTAGTAGTTCCCAATGAACTGAATAATTGATACGTCTGACCAAATAATTACACATAAAACTACTGAAAACAATCAACTGAATTTACTGTTAAATGACTCAGAGCTCTATACACACACTTTCATGCTTAAAGAGAGAGACAGACAGACAGACAGACAGATATAGGTCGGGGGTTTTCAGAGTTTCATAAGAAGATCTGACAGAAGAAAGTAACTAATTTATGTTGCTCGACACGTCATAAACGACCATTTACAACTAAATTCAGACAGCGATTGATTTTTATTTGATGCAGTGATGTTCGTAAATTATACCTTTTAAACTTAATAGCTTATGTTTATTTATTGGTTAAAGGACGGTTCATAAATCTTAATGCTATATTATCAAGAAATACAGACCGAACGAGAGAGAGAGAGAGAGGGGTGGGAGGGGGCAGAGAGGGAGGGTTTAACGTTCACTCAACACAAACTAGGTCATTTCGGGACTAACACATGGTTAAAAAAAAATTCAACAATTCGCTTGGGCGTAGGGATCTTTAGAGCAGTAGGAGGAAACATACACGAATATAAATTATGGGTTTATGTTATTTAAGATACACCAAGTTGTTATCCACTGATGAAAAGCTTCAGTTGCATGAATAGTCATATAGGTTTGTTCATTTTTTGTGATGTTCCTAATTTTGAAAAGCAGTTGAGCTTTTAAGAACAATCCAGCCTTGGCCGTTGGGTTTTTATTTAGCATATTTTTAGTTTCAAGCATGCGCATCTTTTTTATTTACAAACTTGCAAGTATATCATCCATGTCCCGGTTATGTTTAATACACCAACATTGCGAGTCTGACTTTAACTGGTTTTTTTACAAAGCATTTATAAAGTCATCTTTTGTGCTGTCTCTTCACACCCTGTCCACTTTACAAAATGAGACTGTATTGGGATTTGCTTTATTCAAATTTTGTTTATAGAATTTGAGACGTGTATTGCTGTTTATAGATGTTTTAGACTGTATTGATGTTTATAGAAGTTGAGACTGTATTGATGTTTATAGAATTTGAGACTGCATATTGATGTTTGTAGAAGTTGAGACTGTATTAATGTTGATGTTTGAGACTGTATTGATCTTATAGAAGTTGAAACTGTATTGATGTTTGAGACTGTATTAATGTTTGAGACTATATTTATGTTTATAGAGGTAAGTTGAGACTCTATTGATGTTTATAGAAGTTGAGACTGTGTTTATTATTACTTCTGTGAATTCATTCTGGGTATAAATAATAGTTTGGAATATCAGTATAGCACAGTTTGATATTGCTTATACAACTGTTTTGTATCTGTTTATACAGATTCTTCTAATAGATTATATTGTTTTGTATATCTATATCCAATCTGTTTAAAACACAGATCCTATTTCGTTTCGTTTTACTTGTCTTTACTGCACTGTCATAGCACACTGTAGTCTGTATGGCGTATGACTGTCTTTATTAGCCCAGTTCGGAGCAGGACAGTTGGACGATAAACCCCATTTTATTTCATTTGCCAATGTAAAGCGCGTTTGATCATTTTATGAAAATGTCGCTATATAAATCTACTATAATAACAATAAAGTTCGCAGCTCTGTTGATAAAAAGGTCGATGTTTCCAGCAGTTATAATTATGGTATAGAATTGTTATAATTATTATAATCCCTACTGATTCTTATTAATTTATGTCTAATTATTTAGATGTTTGACTACATATATTATGTTAATAATTACATAAATATGGATTAATTTGTCACAGTTGACATTTTATTAAAACTATACGTAAACAAGAAATATAACACTGTCTTAACACAAGAACAGATCTGATATAAATTATTAAACATACGTTATACAAGAGCTAAATCTGACTATTGCAGGTCTTTCTTTAGGCCTGAAATGTTATATAAACTATTAATTAGACATTAACTTACCAAGACCATAATCAACTCTCGATACCATCGGATGCCTGTGCTAGATTAGTAGATTGGGAGAGAGAGAGAGAGAGAGAGAGAGAGAGAGATGGGGTCATTTCGGGACTAACACATGGTTCAATTTTATTTCAATAATTCGCCTGTGCGTAGGGGTCTTTGGCAGTGGGAGGGAAACCGGAGGACTTGGAGAAATTCGACGAGGATGGAGAGGCGAACCTACTCCTTGTCACGTACAACGGGGGAATCGAAACCACGCCAGTCTACTCAATGACAGACCCCATGATACAGTGCGCACGTGCTGACCATTCTGCCATCTAACCCTCCTAGTAGATTTAAATACGTTTTGTGGTGGATGCGTACAAATGGATAATCGAGACTTTGTTTATTATCGTAATAACAGTAGTAATGACCATCGAGGATAGCCTAAAATTGTATCGCTAATATCTAGGCTCAGAGTGAAGTTATTTCATTGACATTTTCAGCATATTCTCTTTTCAGTATCTGTTTTTAACTATTATAACTAGAACTGTCAACTCCTTATGTAATCTTACCTAATGCCGCTTTAATCTGCTATGTTTTATTAAAATCTGTGAACATCATGTGAGGAATTGTTAATCCCTTACAAACTTGAAGGGTCCTGCTAATCACCGACACGAACCGACAAGAGCGTTTCGCCCAAAGTATTGCAAAACGTGACAGACACAAAAAGATATATTATAAATATTTATATTCTACGCATCAAATCATAATTTCCGGATGTTTCAATTTTATTTCAATAAACCGCATGCAGTTAGTGGTCTGGGGGGAACCAGTACGATAGGCGACCCTACTCCTTGTGACATTCAAGCGGGAAATCGAAACCACGCCACTTGCCTCAATCATGATCCCCCCCCCCCACACACACACATACAGACGCGCGCGTTCTAGAACAGCCGATACAATTTCTTACTAACTATTTAAATCCTCAGTACTTACACACGTCATCAATTTTGAGGTGAGGCAGTGAAATAAGTGAATCGGTAAATTAGAAGGTATATTAAAGCGACCGGACATTAATTAGTTATTACTTGTTTTTGTATATAAACCTTCTGTATATTATATTCATCATCATTTGCTTCATAACGTTGAGAGAACCCCCCAACGAAATGTCGCTTTAATTAAAATAATAATTGTGTTCCATATTATGTTTTTGTGTTCATTAAGTCCCCATAGTTAACATATTGTGTTATTGTATTTATATATTAAAATCTTTCGGTCAGCTTGCTCGATATTAAACATATCGTAATGTAATTCATTCCCAGAAAATTGAGGATGCAATAAATGGAGTTAGCGGGATATTGAAGCTTGGCCTGTTATTACAAGAACTGATATTATAGATTTCAATTTTCTGATTACGTTAAAATACAACCTCTAAATTGTTCCCTCTTAAAGATGCATTATACAACAGCTAGATCTGCCTATTGCATGTCTTTCTTTAGGGCCTTAAATGTTATATAAATTATCAATTAGACATTAATTAACTTATCAAGACCATAATCAACTCTTGATACCATCGGATGGCTGTGATATACGTAGATTTAAATACGTTTTGTAGTCGACACGGTTCCCCTAAACATGGATAATCGAGACTTTGTTTATTATCGTAACAACGGTAGTAATGACAATCAAGGCTAGCCTATAATTGTATCGCCGGCAACTAGGCTCAGAGTGAAGTAATTTGACTGAAATTTTAAATATCTTCCCTTTTCATTATCTATTTTCCATTTTCATAGCGAGAACTGTCAGTTCTTTATCTAATCTTACCGAACGCGGAACGCCCCTTTAATCTATTACCTCAATCTGATTAAAATACAGATCTATATTTCGTTTCGGTTTTTTTAATACTTTCGATGGCCTACACTACATGAAGATCTGACCAGTTGTAGCGATAGGTCGCGTCAGAGGTCATACGAGCGGCTGTTGATCCTATGACGTCAGAAATCTGATTAACCAAGCAGCGTTGACGTTACTAGTGGATTACCCACAGTTCCATGCAAAACACGCCTAAAGCTCGCCGTAAAAGACCGTTTCATTGGCTTATTCCTCACATCAATAAGAACGCCTATTCTATAACAACTCTTCCAGATCCTAATGTAGTAAAGACAAGTAAAACGAAATTTTGAACTATAAAAAACGAAACGAAATAGGATCTGTGTTTTAATCAGATCGCTATTACCGTGAATATCTTTACGATTAGCTTATTACTTTTATTGTAAAGCCCAAAGACTAGTTGTGGAAAAAAAACAATATATTTAATCGCCATCGGTCTGTTCAAAGGGGGAATGAACGGACGAATGATTTAATGCATGCCAGTTAAATCATACTGTCTGTCATTAAGCCAAGTGGTGTGGTTTCGACAGGGAGTGAGGTTGCCTGTCCAACCTCGCGGGTCTTCTACGGGTCCCCTGCCCACTTCCACACACACTGTTTAAGACCCCTATGCACAAGCGAATTATTGAAATATAATTGAATCATATGTTAATCCCGACATGTTCCAGTTTGAGTCTAGTGGGCTCTCTCTCTCTCCCTCTCTCTCTCTCGCGGACTGTTTAAATGGTTTGCGTAAAGATCACCACTGCCTGTCTTGCATTGATACATATACACATACAGAGCTAACCGCCAATCGTGCCTGTACTGGTGTTAGCGGCTTGTATCATAGCACGAAGAAAATAATCGAGCAACGCTACTTTGGTCGTGCGGTAAACACGCTGTCATTGGATTTGTCAACAAGCCTCTTCCAATGGAATTATTTCTATTCGCCGCTACTCCGATCGTGTTATTGGATTTATTAAAATAATGGGTGAAATCTACGGCTATGACAGCTAAGTCGAGAACATTTTCGTCTTTGTGGCTTCTTTGATCGACAGTAAAAAAGTTAGTGTGTTTATAGCTGAAGCTCAGAGTCAATTGAAAGCGCGGTGGTGTATTACTGAACTTTTGAAAATTTGTTTTATAACTTTATGACTTCACATAACTTTTGTCATATTTTTTTTAAAAGACTATATAATTCGAGATTATGACGAATATAACGTACTTTGCTAGCATTTAGTGAAGTAGCTTGACTTTCGCAAGACAATTTGATGAGTTTAGCTCCTTAGTTTAAACGAAAGTTTGGATTTTCATTATTTCCATTTGACACGTAAGTTTATTCTGTTTTATAAATATTCAAATTATTTCTATTAAATATTAGATAAGGGTTGTTCGTAAATCACTTTCCTTGATTTTTCAGAGAAAGAAAAACATTTACTTTTCTGCATATGCCACGAGTTTACCTGCCAGATTTAAATATTGAGTTTATTGGATATTAATTGCTTTAAAGACCGTTTGATATTTATATATTTAAGGTAAGACCTTCTTCTTCTTTGAAATATGTTTTAGTTTAGTTATCAACAAATTAATGTTAGACTAATACCCAATAACACATACTTATGGAAAAATAGTTAATTATTTATTTGGGGGACGTTTCGAAGAGTATTCTCTTAACGTTATCAAGCTGATATAGTAAAAAAAAAATCTGAGGCAAATATATATACAGAAAAAAATTATAACAACACTGAAACCATACATGACAACAACAAGATCAAAGGACATGGACTCAAAAGGGTTAGACGTTATTCCACATATACCGGTTGTACGTGCCAAGGAGTGGGATCGCCTGTCCAACCTTTTGGGTTTTCTGTGGGTCCTCCGGTTCCCTCTCTCTCTCTCTCTCTTCTCTCTCTGTCTCTCTCTCTGCTCTCTCTCTCTCTCTCTCACTTATAATGTTTTGGTAGCTTCTGATACCCGTGCTATCATTTATCCAGTAGTTTCTACTACTGAAATCCAATGTTTCAGATAGACTGAAGTAGTGACGAAGCATGGTGTGTTTACTTTTTGTGGGCCCTGTACTGCTTATGGTTTGAGGAGTTCACGTGTGACTACTAACTAAGTTGTGTTTCGTAGTTTTAGGTTTTAAGCAGTTTGGGCTTGCTCCTCCTTGGATATCCTCCCCATATTGCCCCTGGTTTGTTTAGTTCAAGTGTGGCCAACTATTTGTTTTTCGTACTTGTGTATTACTAAACGGTCATATTAAATACTAGATTCTGGGACGCCCTATACTACTACTTGTGGAGTAGCTTGCGCTTCGGCCTACTTTTATATAGAATTCCAACTGCCAATGGATCTTTTACTTGCCCGCCAATGTGTATACGGAACCTAGATTTTTCGTCCCATCGGAACGACTAGACAGCTGTCCTTGCCAGACTCTCCGTCTTGCATCACGGCCAGCATCGGGGCCGAACTCGCGACCGCCAGGCTAGCGAGCCAGCGTCTTACTCACTATTATATATATATACTAATAGAAATGACGATTAACGTCCACTGCATGCTAGCTAAGTCATTTCATCTCACATTAGACAAAATCCTATTACTTGCATAGATGACAGGCAATATGCTCTACGGTGATGGCTTATCAAATTCGTTCAGCATTGTCTTGAGAGATTTTGAATTGTCTTGTAGTTGACAAGCAGACAGACAATTTGCACCATGATTATAAACCATAAACCAGGAGTTACATTTGTAATTGAATTCAATATGTTTCAATATAAGGTTAGAACGTTCTTGTTTGTATTGCCGAAGTGCTGTTTTCTAGGGGTTGTAGCTTATTCCAACACTAACGACGAAAACTCGGATAAATAGTTAAAATTGTACTTTTAATAAACGAGTGTCTCAAACTGGCTAACGGTCACAATAAAGAGATAGGTATCGCTAGGGCGAGCCGGTCACCAGACTAAAGTTACAGTAGAATATATACAAGCTTGGGATTAAAATAATTAGTAATAATATTTGATCAGAGATGTTAAATTGTAAACAAGAAACAGATGTTTAAATACAGAAGATATCGACATACCAAGAACGCGTGTTAACTATAATTACGTTATATTAAGTATAAACCCAAACAGTTAAAAGGCTTGAAAGATTAGTGAGATATCAATTCGGACATTGGTCAATTGCTATTTTGACTAAAATTAAATAGTAATAAAATATATAGAAAGACACACTATAACAGTACCATGATTGGGTGGGGAAAAAAGTTTGTGGCGTGGTTTCGATTCCCCGATTTTACGTGACAAAGAGTAGGGTCGCATGTCCAACCTCGAGGCTTTTCTCCGGGCTCCCCGGTTTCCCCCACTGCTAAAGACCCCTTGGAATAAAATTAAACCGTATGTTAGTCCCGAAATGACCTAGTTTGTGTCGAATGGACGTTAAACCCCATTTCTCTCTATATATAAACCCGTGCAAATAAGTGACTGTTTCTCTAGAATATTATAATGTTTTTTATTGGTCCAGATATATATCTACCTAAATGAATGGAATGAATATCTATCTAGATGTTTCTATTATATCAGATTATTCAGCTCCCTGAGATCGGAGGATAACATTTGAATAGCTGCACTATTTTATCGATTCTTTAATAATGTAAAGAAATGATATACTATTTAAAAGTTTAACCTATTATTATTATGACAAAATTACATACTCGACTTGCACCAGAGTTGCCTTCTAAAAATCCATACGTTTATTCTACATGGCGAATTTATGTGATACATATAATAATTATAAGTTTCCTTATAGAGTCGTGACGATAGTAGATTAGACTATTGTCTAAATGAATGAATAATAAACGATGTACAGCGTTTATATCAACTGATGTTATTAATTATTAAACATGCATTATGCAAGAGCAAAATCTGCTTATTACAAGTCTTTCTTTAGGCATGAAATGTTATCTAAATTATCAATTAGACATTAATTAACTTATCCAGACAATAATAAACTCTCGATGTCAAGGCTAGCCTTCGATGTTGGCTGGATTAGATTCCTATATGCCGCTAACGGCCGTTGATAATTAAATCAAAAAAAGTGGATAATCGAGACTTGCTGTTTATATTAATGATTTTAGTAATGATGACCGAGACTATGCCAAAATTTCACGAGCTTCTTTCTCGGCTAATGGTGGATCAATTTGACTGAAGTTTTCAGCAAATTACCTTTACACTAACTAGTTTTTTTAAAAACTATTATAGCGAGACCTGCCATCTCTTTATCTTATCTCCCATAATGTATCTTTAATATATAATGTATATGATCTTATATCTCCCTGTGGGAACCGAAGTGGCTCAGTGGGCCAGTGAGTAAATCGCTGGCTCAGTGGCCTCGGGGTGCTTCACCCTGGCGAGTGGTGCAGGATGGAGATTCTGGCAAGGACAGTGTCTAGTCGTTCGGATGGGACAGAAAAAACCGAGGTCCCGTGTACACATTGGCGTACACGTAAAGAACCTTTGACAGTTGGAATTCGAAATAAGAGTAGGCCGTAGCGCCGATATCTGGGGAAAATTTCGACCATAACTTAATTTATGGTGTATGTCCGTCTTCGGTGCAGAAAAGTAATACGCTATACCCCATTTCTTTTCATATTATCCCGTCAGTGCCATACTATAATTAAACGAATTTGATTTAGTTCAACAGGACCATGCTTGTAAATCCTATACGGTGCAAGTACTGTATCTAGATTGTCGATCTTTACAAGCTGGCAAAATTTGACGTCAGATCAATCTCTCTTCCCGAGATTCTGGAGGCCCTGCGATTAATTATTCTAAAATAATGGTGCACATATGTTATATTCCTCGTCAACAGACGGTATTATTATAGACCGGCATCATTATACCTTTATGCAGAACAATAGGACGTTAACCCCCGTTTCATTTCTATGTCATAAAGTTAAGACGCGTAGGATAAAGCACGAGACTGAGGTTGTGCTGGGGAAAGAAAGACTGAAGAAAATAACCCGAGAAAAAGAAAAACCGAAGCCGGCAAAGTTTTGTGTTTTTTGATCAAAGATATTTCTCATAAGCAGTGATTGAAAATTGAGTAAATTGTTAACTTAAAGGAGCTAAATCGCTAATATTTAGGACATAGAAATTGACACAAATGGGTCGCAACGCATACAATAATGTAATATGAATGTATATAAATTGATTTACATTCAATCGTTTCTGTTTTTACTGTAATTTCTAATCAGTTCGGTTCGACGAAATACGCCAGAAGTCTCAATCGAATGGCAATCTCTATCGTCTGGTTGTTCCAGTCTACGCCGATAGTATTTATTGCGCATGCTCTCCAGATAAGAATATAGCGTCACCGTTTGACATGACTTGTGGAATATGCCTAGCGTCGTTTTTCGAGTCCCTTATTACAAATAGCGCTGAAACGCATTATGGTACACGGTTCGTGTACCAATTGTAAAATGTTTATTTTGTCTTTAATATTGGATATCAGAAGACTATCTTTTCCCAGCAAGATCACAACATCAGTGTTGATTTAAACCGACAAATAATTCGTGTTTTCAATGTCGAAGATTTTGGATGATATTGAGTTAGAGACTTAGCTACTTTAAGTTAAGAATTTACTCAAAATTGTTCACCTTATGTTAACTAAAATATGACCCCTTATAAATTTTTTTTATTGTTTTAATGTATGAAATACGCCAATAAGAAACTATGTGCAAAGTTTTGTGTTTCTTGATCAAGGATATTTCTCATAATCATGATTGAAAGTTCAGTAAATTCGTAACATAAGTCTGAAAATGTTTTGTGAACTCGGGGCCAGTATAAAATCTGTAATTAACGAGTTCAATTAAGATACATAATACATGTACGTGTATTTAGAATATTTAAACTCCCCATTATCTAATCATTGGTAAATTTATATAGAAATTCTCGGGAAGTGTATTCCCACGATGGATGCGTATGTATACACTTTTGTCGGAAGAAATGATTTTTATATTTGAAACGTCTTCTTTGTATGTCATGTGGGGACTGGAAAATTTCTATTTTCCCAGATGGGTATTAAAGCAGAATCTTTATGTCCACGTTGGCGGATGTATGAAAGAGATAATAGTATTTTTATGTCCAAGCGGTCTCTCAATTCAAGCGTACTTAATGAAACTAATAACAAATATCGGTAATCGGCCATCGATTTTCGGTTCCGGTTTCTATCTTTATTGCTTTTTAGTTATTAATAATATTTGTTTCCGTAAAAATATATATATTGTCTTCTAGAACCTACGGGGCATGACAAGTGATATTGTTGTCTGTCCAGGTAAATCATAAGTGTGATCAGATGTTCTAAATCGGATGTTCGTATCTTACCTCGTACGTGACGCTTGTCGCTACTTGTATATAAACATAAGAGAGCCGTGGTGGCTCAGTGAGTTAGACGCTGACTCGCTAAAGAGGCGTTCTCGGATTCGCTCCGGCTGTTGGCCGAGAAAGGTCCTGGGTATTTTCCAGTGCGATTTCCCCTT